GGTGGGGTCCCTGGTGGGTCCGAACCCCCAGCCTTTCAGTTCACAGCCAAGCGCTTAGCCATTGTACCACCAGGGCTCCTTCCAGCACGGGTGCAGGACGTGTAAGAACAGAGCTTCATTTTCTCCCAGTCCAGGAGCTCTGGTGGCACGGTGTCTAAGGCACTTGACTGCTCACCAGAAGGCTGGCGGTTCAAACCCACCACCCACTCCTGGGAAGGAAGGTTAGGCAATCTACTTCCGTAGTGATACCACCATGGAAACCCAAGGAGGGGTCGCTATGCGTGAGATCAACTCGATGGCAATGAACACCACCACCATGAGGAAGCTAGAGGTCCAAATTCAGGCCACCAGCTCTAGGGCAGGCCCTCTGTGCCGACTGTGGCGGAAGACCCGGTGTCCCTCAGCATCTGTGGGCCTGTCATCCATCCTGAGCGACCCTCACGGGGCATCTGTTCCCCTGCCTTTGTGCTGGCTTCTCTCTGCTGCTCTTCGTGTCTCTCCAAAGTGATCGGGGAGAACACGCCTTACACTGTTACGACCCCATTAACACAACAAAGGAACCCTGATTCCAAATGCAGTCACAGGTACAGGCACCAGGCTCGAGCACGCATTTTGAGGGGGAACACTGTTCAGTCTCTGATTCAAGTGCAGGGCTCTTGGTCCACACGGCCAAACCCCACATTCTGAGTGCAGGCAATGCAGTCGGTCCTGGCTTCCTCGGGTCAGAACTGCCTGGCAGGCGAGCGGGGCGGGGCGGCCGGGCTCCCTCTGGTCGAGGCTTCTCTAACTGCTGCCCTTCCGTCCTGCCTGGCAGGCCTGGACGCCAGGGCCCTGGCACGGATCCTCTTCACCCAACTCTGGGATGTGTGCAGCCGGTGGCAGGAGCACGCGTCGCCCACCGCTGGGACTCCTCAGCGACAGTGGCTGGTCTCCGCCCACGCCATCCGAAACACCCGCCGCAAAATGGAAGACCGGCACGTGTCGCTGCTGGCGTTCAACCAGCTCTTTGGCCTGACCGTGAGTGCTCCCTCCCCGGTTGCGGGGCCCCGAGAGTAAGTTCAGTTCCAGATCTGAAGGGGGGCTAGGGGCCATAGTCTCAGGGGTCTCACCAGGCTCCACCAGGCTCCTCCAGGTGGCGGGGTGAGTACAAACTGGCACCCTGAAATCGGGTGTTGGGCAGCTTACAGGGCACCTCCAAGCAGGTGTGGGAGGCCTGACTCCCAGAGCAGCCACCCGGCCAAGGATGTAGAGGACAAATACAGTTTTCCCAAGTCTTATTTGGAAAGGGCCAGAAGGTGCCATATTCACCTGACAGGTGATGGTGGATCCCCCTTAGTGCCAGCTCTGGGTGCTACCCGCATCCGCACCCACAGCGACTCTGTGTGGATGGTGAGGCTGGAGCCAGCCTAGCTCGTCAGATTCCCCCAAGCCCAGTGCCTTATGGGAAGCCAGTAAGCGCCCGTGTTCCCCTGCCTGGGCCCGCTCCCCATAGACGCAGCCAGGGCATGAGGCCGGTTCAGGAATCCTGCTGTGTTTCTGCCAGGATGCCACGGACCGCGCCTATTTTGCCGTGTTCGATGGTCATGGAGGAGTGGATGCCGCACAGTTTGCCGCCACGCATGTACACGCCAACGCTGCCCGCCAGCCCCAACTGTCCACAGACCCCGCAGGTGCCCTCAGGGAGGCCTTCCGGCTCACCGATGAGATGTTTCTGCGGAAAGCCAAGCGAGAGGTGAGAACCGCAGGCCAGCTGTGATTTGCCCTAGGCCCTGGGCAGGCCCAGCTCCCACAGAGGCCAGAAGAGCTCAGTGTATGGCCGCTGGCATCCATGTCTCTGCTGCCCCTGCAGTCGGGGAGGCTCCCTTTAGCTTGAGCGGACACAGCACAGAGATGCCCCTGGCCCAGGACGCAGGCCCCTCTGCAGCCGCGTCGACAGGCAAGCTGCATAGGCCTCGCGGGGAAGGCCACCCCACGTCACCCGGGTTCTCTTTCCTTTTCTTTTTAAATTTTTGTGATTTGGGTGAAAGTTGACAGAGCAAACTCAGTTTCTATACAGCAGTTCATACACGTTTTGTCTCATGACATTGACTCTAATTCCCCACCACGTATCAGTTCTCTTCCGACTTCCTCCCGATAGTTACCTCTTCCCTCTGTCCTTCCCTCCCACGCACTCCTGCTGCCTGAGCTGGCTCCCTGTGCAAACACTGTCCTTACGATCTCCCATGACTGATCGCTCTAAGGAGTGTATCTACCTGATGTAAATGTTCACCCCATCTGCCTGTCTGTTGTTTGGCGGGAAGACACAGGAGTGAGTTCAGTTCCAGACCTGAAGGGTAACTAGGGGCCATAGTCTCAGGGGTCTCACCAGGCTCTACCAGACCAGCAAACCTGGTCTTCTTTTATGATCTTGAGTTTGTTCCACATTGGTCTCCCACTCCATCCACCATCTCCTGCGCTGATCCCCTCCAGGTGGTTGACAGTGGGAGCTGGGCACCATCTAGTTCTTCTGGTCTCATTCACCTGGGTTTTCTGGGCAGAAGGCCTGGAGGCTACATTTGTCCACTGGGAATGTTCTGTTCCCTGGAGTTACAAACACATGTAGAAGAAACAGCCTTCCAGGCCCCTCCCGTGTGGGCTCACCTGAGCTCACCCACCTGAATAGACTCCCTTCTTTGAACTTGAGCTCTGAAGGCACAGTGCCTCAGGCATTCGACTGCTGCCCAGAAGGTCAGCAGTTCAAACTCACCAGCCACTTCATGGAAGATAGGGCAATCTACTCCTGTAAAGATTTACCACCTGGGAAATCCAACGGGTTTACCAGTCGGCAGTCGACTCAACAGCCGTGACGTTTTTTTGGACGTCCCTCCAGTTACCCTGTGGAGCAGGTAGCCACATCCTCCTCATTGGAAATACAGTAGAACTGAAGTTTAGAGATCTTGACAGACCTGAGTGGACACAGGTTGGCAGTGGCAGTAGCTGGGCCAGACCTAGCTCATGACTTCCTAGCCCATGCCACGAGCAGGCCTCAAGGAGGGGGCACGGCTGTCCTGCACCCTGAGCTCAGGCCTCGGGGAAAATCCCCAGAGCTGGCCTCTGTGCCTTCGTGGGCAGCCGTGTGTCCTCTCATGGGGGGCGCCGGCTGGAAGGAGGCTGTACCTTGGGCCCCTGGCTAACCGGGCCCCCCTTGGAGGTGGAGGAAGCTTATGTTCACAGGTCTCTGACATAGAGAGATGGCTGTCTGAAGCAGGAGTTGGTTTTGTTTCATTTCACTGTGGGTTTGTTACTGCACATCTTTAAAGTATACAGTTTGGGCCTGTGTGCACACCCTGCCAGCCTCCCACGGTCAAGATTAGGATCTTATCACCCCAAGCGCATCCTCCCACCTCTTTGTCATCCCTCCCCCGTGACCCCCAGTCGGCTCTCTGCCACCAGTGGGTAGTAGGCATCTTTGGACTTGGATATTTTGTGGGTGACTTTGGGGAGAAGAATCGGCATGAATCTAATCCCCAAAACATGGAGGCCCATCCAGCCCCCCACCTTCCCACTTTGCCATTAATCTGACACCAGATGTCCACATGGCACACTCTCTCAGACCCCAGGCACCCAGGGGCTGGGGCAGATCTCGCAAGTGAAGAGCACCCTGTCTCTCAGGCCGCCAGGTAGGGAGGCACCAGCCACGAGTGTGGGAGGCCACGCAAGCCCTCACTGCCATCTGCCAGGGCCCCCTTCTCCTTTGCCAGACGACATAGAGAACTCAGCGTATTCTGCTTAGGATTATAAACAGATTATAGTAAAAGGTTGTCAATTAGGAGATCAACAAGGTCTGGGAAGGTTCCCAACACAGAGCTGCCGTGTCCAGAGAGGACTGTATTGTGTCCTGTATTCTGTGTCTATTTTAGAGTCCCTAGATCACAGCTGGTTCCTTCACCCACCAGGAAGCTCTCAGAGCTGTAGGGTTCAGGGTTTGTATCCACCAGTCCTGAGTGGTTGGCTGGTTCACTGATGTCAGCCTCCCAGGTGCAGCCTTTCTGGTCAGGCCAGGCCCCACTCACCAGCCCGCACCCTCAGCCACGGCCTGGACGTAGACCAAGGCACCCCACTTACCCCAAGGCTTGTTTCTCAGGAACCAAGGACAGAGGGACCTTCCTGACCCCGCAGATGGGAACGCATAGGGTGTGCTCTTTTGCGCGCAGCAGCATCGATTTGAGACCCACACGGCTGTCAGCGGTCTCCCCGTTCGATGGCTGGGTGCAGGCGGCTGGGTCCCAGGGCCCTGCCGTCCTCAGCCCCCGCCCCCTCTGTCCCTGCAGCGCTTACAGAGCGGTACCACGGGAGTGTGTGCGCTCATCGTGGGCAGCACCCTGCACGTCGCCTGGCTGGGGGACTCCCAGGTCATCCTGGTGCAGCAGGGGCAGGCTGTGAAGCTGATGGAGCCTCACAGGCCCGAGCGGCAGGTAAGACGTCCCCACCACAGCCCGGCCATCCCCACACCCCGTGGTGCGGCTCCCAGGCCCCCCTTCCCAGCCCAGGAACACACAGACAGGTCGGGAAGCCGTGCCGGGTATTCACGAGGCAGATGAGCAAGTGGGACAGGCCCTGGGCGGTGTTTCCAGGAAGCTTCTGGAACTCCTCCCAAAGGGGAACTCCAGGGACCCCGTAACGCTCGAGGCGTTACCAGCCAGCAGCCCCAGGTGAGCCGTTCCCAGAGCTCTTGAGGGGCTCAGCGTGATGACCTGGGCACCGTGCCCACTAATGGAATCCACGGACACGGTCCCACCACACACACGCGGGGCCAGGAGCGGCCGGCCAACGCTGGGCAGCAGGGACAGAGGTGACGCTAAGCCGAGGCTGGCAGGGAGCTGTCATGCTGGGACCCCAGGACTCCCTGGATGCCTCCAGCAGACCCTGCACCCCAGCCAGACACTCACTAGCCCCAAGCCTCATTGGCCTCACCCGGACGCGAGGGTGATGTTCCTGCCTCAGACCCCATCTCACAGAACCGTCCAGGCCCTTGTGCCTGAGGTCAGACAGCAGTGTTTCGATGTCGAGAAAGGCCGGGCTGCGGTATCCTGCCCCTCCCCAGAGTAAGGAAGCCCTGGCCCAGGCGGACCAGTGGCCGTGGCAGGTGCTCAGGCCACCGTGCAATGCCACCTGCCTCCTGTCCTCCCGTCCCTCACCTTCTCCCAGTGGGGCCAGCAGCTGGCCCCTCTGCTCGGGGTGGTGAGAATCTGCCCAGAGGACGCTGTCCCCTGTGGCAACAGGGACCTCCCAGTGAGGGAAGGGGGGTTCTGACCTCTTGGGCAGCCGGGTACCCAGCAGGGTCATGGGGGGGCCAACAAAAGTAAGAGGGATGCGACGTGCCCCCCTGAAGGGGCTTCAGCAGATGGGGAGCCGCCTCGCTCCTGGGGGGCCCCTAGGACACCTTCCATAGGCGGTCACATTGTCCCTGCCCTTCTGGGGGGGTTTGCCTGACCCGAGGGTTCTGAAGGGACGGATGGCAGTCCTCAAGTGTGCTGAGGCCACTCCTGGGGGTGGGGGGAGCTTGGGTCAACACGGAGGCACAACAAGCCAGGGGCTGCTTGTCCGGGGGGGACTCGGGCTTCGCCAAGCCTCCGCCTCTGAGTCACACTCTCCCTGTGGCCTCACGAGCACTTCCCCGACCCCGTAGCACTCCTCGGAGCCCCCGGGCAGGGGAAACAGCACTCGGCTGCTAACCCAAAGGTGGCTAGCTTGAGGCCCCCGGAGGGCAGGCCGGGCAGCCTACTTCCGAAAATTCAGCCCCTCAAAGCTCTACAGAGCACAGCTATACTCTGATACACACAGGGTCCTGTCACCATTGGGCAAAAGTTGACACAGCAAATCCATTTTCCATACAGCTGGTCATACACATTTTGTTTCATGACATTGACTGCCATTCCCCACAGTGTAACCACTCTCTTCCCACTTCCTCCCTCTGGTCACCTCTTCCCTGTGTCCTTCCCTCGCACGCACTCCCACCCCCTGAGCTGTCTCCCTGTGCAAACCCTGCCCTTCTGTTCTCCCACGATCAATCGCTCCGAGGAGCGTATCTACCTGATGTGAACGTTCACCCCATATGCCTGAGTGGCAACCACAGGAGTGAGTTCAGTTCCAGACCTGAAGGGGAACTAGGGGCCATAGTCTCGGGGGTCTCACCCAGGCTCTATCAGGCCAGCAAACCTGGTTGTCAGCCATTTGTGTGTGTGTGTGTTTTCCCAATGTTGCATACATTTTTACCAAAATAAAATTGAAAAGTTTTTGAAAGGTTAGTTGCTGAGTTCCTCTTCACACCCAGGGCATGTAACAAGCACTAACTCTGTGCTGATACACATTGAATGTATTTGCATTGTGTATCGTATTCTGCGTATATTTTAGAGTCCCTCGATCACAACTGGTTGAACACGTGGTGGTTTGAGGTCACCCAGAGGCACCCTGGGAAGACGGCCTGGCGATCTTTACCCAGGTCCCAGCCCTGGAAGCCCTGTCGGGTGCAGTGCTGCTCTCGCCCACAAGGGGGCAGCTATCAGGGTCGACGCCATAGCGCCTGCTGACTGGTTTTCAACCCTCCTGGAAGACACAGTCACTGCTGGCTGTGGGCAGCGTGTTTGTTTGCACCATCATGTATTTATATTATTTATAATTTCTTACTTTGGATAGAGATCTGCCTTGGAAACGCAAGGAGGGGTCGTTAGGAGTCAGGATGGCAGTGACTTTGGGTTTTTTGGTTTAATTTGGATGCACCTCTGGACCTCCCAGCTACCTGTCCGTGCTGTGGTTTTGAGTGGTACCTTAGACACCAGCTTGGATCTCAGTCCCAGCACGGACATAAGGACGCACTAGACCTCAGCCTTCTCTCTTCCCACAGGACGAGAGGGAGCGCATCGAAGCGCTGGGTGGCTTCGTGTCTTACGTGGACTGCTGGCGAGTCAATGGGACCCTGGCCGTCTCCAGGGCCATCGGTAAGAGGGCCTGGGGGCTGAAGACTGTCCCCAGGAGCATGGGACGAGAGAGCAGTGTATGCTAGGGAAGGATTTGGTGTAGACCAGCTGTCTGCATGTCCTGGGGCTGCAGTAACAAAACACCATAAATGGGCTGAACACAACAAAAATCGATTCTCTCACAGTTCCGAGGGCAGAGTGCGAAATCGCCGTGTCACAGGGTAGGTTGCCTGGGTTCTGAGGACACGCCTCTCCCTGTTTCCGGTGATGGCCACCACTTCTTGGCTTGTAATCCCCGCAGTATCCGCCTCGTCTTTCTTTGGTGGGTATTTACTGTGCCTCTAAGTCTCTCTCCTTAGAAGGACACCAGTCATGGGGTTTAAGGGCCACCCTAACCCAGAGAAGAAGCTCTGATGGTGTAGTGGATAAGGCAGTGGACTTCTAACCAAAAGTTTGGCAGTTCAAAACCACAGCCACTCCACAGAAGAAAGATGAGGCAGTTGGTTTCCATAAAGACTCACAGCCTGGGAAACCCTCTGGGGCAGTTCCACTTTGTCCTCTAGGGGCGCTGTGGGTTGGAATCTACTCCATGGCAGTGGGTGTGGTTTGGGCTTTGCAGTGGGTGTGGTTTGGGACTTTGCTTCCATGAAGACTGACAGCCTTGAAAACCGTCTGGGGCAGTTCCACTCTGTCCTCTAGGGGCGCTGTGAGTGGCACTGACTCTGCAGCAGTGGGTGTGGTTTTTGGTGGATAAAGACAGAGGTCGTAGGGCCACACATGGGTGACTTTTGGAAAACATGCTCAGGGAAATGAGTCTTTTGTAAAAGGACAGATATCATCTAATCCCACTTATAGGCAATATATAGAATTGCCAAATGCGACTTTTAGGCAATATGTACAATTGCCAAATGTGTAGACACCAGAGTTTATTAGTGGTTCCAAGTGGTGGGAAGGAGGGGAGTTAGGGAATTGGCTTCAGGAGCAGTGAGTTTCTGTCCAGGGTGGTGGGATAATCCGGAAACAGTGATGCTGGCAGCCAGTGGCACAGGAGTGTCCATGCAGAGAATGTCCAAGAGGCAAAAGTTCTGTTTTTACCAGAAAATGTTTAAAAAAAAACAGTTCCCTCAGAAAAATTCTAGTCGGCAACACTTGGCTAGTAGTTAACTGTCGACTAACCACACTCACTGCTCTCCAGTCGGATCCGACTCATAGCGACCCCTCCTTGGGTTTCCTGGTTTCTGAGGTGGTACCACTACAGAAGTAGATTGCCCCATCTTCCTTCCGAGGAGTGGCTGGTGGGTTTGAACCTCCAGAGCTCCCACCTACTGTATGTACTGGGAAGTAATTTTTAAATATTTCCAAAATCACACTTACGCCCCTACACACACCCCATCCCTACTGTTTCTTTGGACTTCTGGGAAGAAGTGACCGCGGCGCAAGGCCCAGCAAACACACCGTAGAAATCTCCACCCCACCCCCACTCCCTACCCCTCGGCCCCACAGCCCCCTGGACTTGGCGTCCGTCCCTCCCACACGCTGGAGGTCTTTTGTCCTTGCAGATGCAATGCGGTCCTCACAGCCCGTCTTCTGGCTGCTTCTGCCCTTGTCTCCGGCAGCAAGTGGGGCTCTTGGGCAGCTCCCCACCAGGAAGCAACGTGGCCCGTGGGAGCTGCCACCCCTCGGGCTATAGGGGGCGCACGCGGGAGGAGGGAGCTCGCAGGAGTGCCGTGTTTGGCCTGAGCACCTTGGGGTGCTGTGATCTGAGTTGGGGTGGCCAAGGTGTTTGAGAGGAGAAGTGAGGGGCCTTGGGGCCTTGGACAGGCCAGGTGGGCATCCCAGCGGCGCTGCCTCCGAGCAGCGGCCGCGGGAGCTCGCGGGCTGGACTGCTGCAGTGACTTAGCCGGAAGGCAGAGGCCGTCGTCGGGGGCCACCCTGGGCGCCACACGGCGCCCTCCCCCGCAGGCCTCCCCTCTGCCGCGGGCCCCCACTCCACAGGACATCGAAGGCACTTGCTGGCACTGAAATCTGCCGGAGCCTCATGTTACCACTTCCCGTTGCCTCGACCCCGGCGCACGGCGCCCCCACGTGTATCAGGGTGGAACTGCGCCCTGCAGGGTTTTCAGTGGTTGATGTTTCAGCCAAGCCCGGTGCACCAGGCTGTTCTTCTGAGGCACCTCTGGGTGGACTTGCACCGCCAACCTTTGGGTTGGCAGCCGAGTCGGTCAACCTTTGCACTGCCCTGGGAGTCCCCGTGTCCCTGCTAGTCCCTCATTGCCCTTAGGGACAACAGAGGCAGCCTCTTCTATCACGCCATCCTGTTTTCTTCGTAGTACCTGACCCAACCTGACCTCTTTTCCAATTGGAATGTGGGAGCAAACGCTCCGTGGAAACCTCATGGTGGGCTCTGGGTCCGCAGGGGGCAGCGGGGCGGGCCAGCCTGGCAGAGGCCGGCTGGGGAGGCCGGAAGCGGAAGCGGGAGGGGGCAGGCCGGAAGCGGGAAGGCAGTGGTCCCTGACCCGGTCGTGTTTTCTCTCTGGTGCTCAGGGGATGTACTACAGAAGCCGTACGTGTCCGGCGAGGCAGACGCGGCCTCCCGGGAGTTGACTGGCTGCGAGGACTACCTGCTGCTCGCCTGTGACGGCTTTTTTGACTTCGTGCCTGCCCAGGAGGTCACGGGCCTGGTCCAGAACCACTTGGCCCGGCAGCAGGGCTGCGGGCTCCACGTCGCCGAGGAGCTCGTGGCCACGGCCCGGGAGCAAGGCTCCCGCGACAACATCACCGTCCTGGTGGTCTTCCTCCGGGACCCCCGGGACCTGCTGGAGGGCCGGCTCCAGGGGGCTGGGGACTCGCCCGTCGCCCCGTCACAGCCCGAGGCGCTCGTGGCCCCGAGAAGCTAAGGGGCCCGAGCCCTGCCCTCCTCCCCCGCCCTGTGACTCTTCCCCTCGGATGCCTTAGGAAACGGCGGCAGGGCCCCGCCGCCCACGGAGCTCGCGCGCGTTACGCCTGTCCCTGCAGCTGCAGAACCGTGTCCCCTGGTGGGGGCGCCCGTCTCGGAAGCCAAAGAGAAGATGGCGTGGGAAGTGGCCCTGCATTGTACTCCCAGGAAGGGGGCACGTGGGGTCCTCTGGGCAGGTGTCCGGCACCGGGCACACCCCCGCCCGGGGCGTAGCTGAGGGGCGGCCCGTGTCGGCGAGCGAGCTTAGTGGCCCCTGGTTGGGGGGGCATCCCTCTTGCCAAGAGGACGGCTGCCCAAGACAGCCTCGGCCGCGGGCCCTCCGACCCCAGGCCGCCTCCCCTCCTCCATGGTCGCCCTGGGGCCAGTGACGCAGGCGCGTGTCTGTGCGCATGCGCGCGAGTGCGGGCCTCCAGGGGCAAGTCTCACTCAAAAGCAGTATTCAGGTTTGTCTTTGTGCCAACGTGACCCGTTGTGTCATATAATTTAAGCCAAGCTTAGCATTTTACTATATATTTCTCAGAAAACTCACGAATTTACTTTTTCTAACTATAGGGGAATCTCTTTTGCAGTGTTACATGTTTTGTTTTTACCTCTAAATCCGGATGGAAACCAAACCGTTCCTGGGTGGGGTTGATAAGCCACTCAAGTGCCTTAAACAGGTGGGGGGGACTGCTGCTCTGGGGGCCCCTGGCAGTAGGGGCAGTCCCCGCAGCGGGCCCCCTGTTGCAGCTCCTGGTGGTAGCCAGGACACTTGTCACCGGCTACCCTTCTGCCGAGAGGCTGGCTGCCCACCATTGCTGCCCTGGGCCGGTAGCAACGTGGTTACCTTGCCGCGGGAGGCTGGGAGCGCAGGTCCCTGGGTCCCGGTCCTGGGCCCCTGCAGCGAGACTGAGCTTTGTGAAGGGTGGCCACTCGAGGTTTGACCCGCTCCTGTTCGACCGGTTCCTCCCAGAGTATCTTCTGTCGGTCTCTGGCTTCCCCTGGGATGCCTGGTTTAGAACATTCTAGAGAGCCAGGGTCCAGCCGGGGACCCGGGCAGCTTCGGCAGATCGTGGCTCTCCTGTTGCCCAGCCCCTCCTTCCTCTCCGGGGGCTGGCAGCCCTCCTACCTTGCTCGGCCCTGTGGCCCACCCGCAGAGTCACACTGCTGGCGTTTCTGTAACTGCCACCTTGCATGTGTAGAAGCCCCACGTTTCCTGATGCACAGAGCGCCGGACGTAGGACACGCGTGTACTCGGCGAGTAGCTCTGTGACGCCTCCAGGGAGGGGCTCAGAGGCCACCAGAGGGGACAGGTGGCTGGGGGGATTGACTCTGGCAGTCCCAGGACTCAGATGATGTGGCACTGGGCAGGGCTGGGATGTATACAGGGTGACTTAGCTGACGCTTTGGGGGTGTTGGGGGGGGCTCGAATGTCTTGGAGGCGTTGGGAGTGCACCCCCAGGCTGGGTCCAGCTTCCTGGGCTAGAGAGCCCTTCCTGTCCGGAGCAGGTGGGGAGGGGGGCATTAGCTCCATGTTCTTGTTGGACGGTGGGCTGGGTGCCTTGCCCAGGGGCTCGTGGTGACAGCATCTTCAACACGCCAGTTAGCCCAGAACCTCCAGGCCAGTGGGACCAGAAGGGCAGGGTTGGGCCTCATTTGGCCCCCTGCCTTCTGGGGGCCAGAAGCCCAGGCTCTGTGACGAGGGGTGAAGGATGAAGCCACTGCCAGCCAGGACCTTGGCTCTGGGGACCTGTTGGGCACCAGCCCTCCTTCCTCCTTAGCTCCCTGTCTTTCGGGTAGTGTTGCCACAGCACACTTCCACCAGGGGGGTTTGGTCTACGCCTGGCACAAGGACCTGGAGCCGGACAGGGCAGCCCCTTCCCCAGGCGCCATCTTGGCAGTGGCCTTTGCTGCCCTTGCCTTGGGATGGGGAATGGGGCATGTTACCCCTCTGCGGGGGCTGGCCTTGTGCTAAGACCTAGTCACCACCTGGCCTGTCCCCTTGCAACCTGGGGGGGTATCTTCCACCATGGGATGTGCTGACCACTTCCCTCCGCAGACATCTCCTGGGCCCCGGTTTCCTCTAAGGTGGAGGGGGGGTGCCCAGAGCCTGCAGCAACCCCACCCCTGCTTGTGCAATTCTGGTGGCGCCACAGCCTGGGGGCGGCCTCGCCCCCGCCAAGAGAGAGATTAGTGTCTATTCTTAAAACGTGGTGGGTTGGTGAAGAATCTAGCTACAGATGCCAGCATCTTGTATGGAATTGCAGAGGTGGGGGATGGTACTCTGCGCTGACTAGTACAGTGGGTTACAAGCGCCAAGGCCAGGCTGCAGGGTGGGAGGGGCTGGCCTGCAGGGCAGGGCGGGGCTGGAAGGCTGTTCTGGTCCAGCCTCCTAACCTCTAGAAAGCCAGGCGCTGCCCTTCCTCACAGACAAGGAAACAGTGCGGCCGCGTGTGGGCTCCTGGAGGCCTCGCGGGCCTTAGGCAGGAGCCCCAGGGCTCGTGGCCCCACCCCTTGTCCTCTCCCTGCAGTGCATGGATGTCCCAGCCACCAGGTGCCCGGTGGACCTAAATGACTCTGTACGGTCAGCTCTCCTTTGGCCTTGATTCTTAGAAGCCAAAATAGGGTCGCGGAGGGAGTCCCAAGCTAGTCACACCTCTGGCCACACCCACCCACCCCACCCCCTGCATCCTGGGCTTTGCCAAACACGCCACCCTTTGCCAATCCGTGCTGGTTCCTCTATGCCATCTCAAGAGGTCCCCTGGGAGCTGTGCTGCTCTGTTCTCTGGGACAGGTGGGTCCCACCGCCTGTGGGGGACACTGTGCTGAGTGTTAATAAACCGAGTTCAGAAACTCCGCCACTGTGTCCTGCCTTCTTCCTCAGCTCCTTGTGGTTGGCACTCTGCTCTTCATTACTTTTAAGAGTCACCTGGGGGTCTTGTTAACATGTAGATTCTGATTCAGTGTATCCGTTTTTGAAAGTTCAAAAAAGTTGTATCATTTTTGAAAAGGTGTCTAGACAATTAAATGGGTAAGGGTAGTCTTTTCCGTAAGTAGAAACCAAGATTCTGGATAGAGTAGGAGAAAAACGTGGAACAAAACTCAAAATCAGAAAAGACCAGGCTTACTGGTCTGATAGAGACTGACGAGACTCTAAGACAATGGCCCCTAGTTACCCTTCACGCCTGTAATTGAACTCGTTCCCATTGCTTCCGGCTAAACAACAGCATACGGGGTGAACACTGACATCAGGTAGATACACTCCTTGGAGCGACCAATCGTGGGAGAACAGAGGGCAGTGTCTGCACAGGGAGACACCTGGGGGGGGGCAGGAGTGCACAAGAAAGGACACAGGGAAGAGGTAACCACAGGAAGTGGGAGGAGGGCTGTTGCATGGGGGGGGACTGCAGTCAATGTCATGAGACAACATGGTGTGAACTGCTGTGTGGAAAATGAACTTGCTCTGGCAGCTTTCACCCAAATCACTCACACACACACACAAAGTACTGCCAAAACCTCTAGCTCTCCACATGCAGAAGAATGAACTTGGACCCCTACCTCACACCATACATGAAAATTGCCTCAGTATGGACATAGACCAACATGTAAGAGCTCAACCTACCAAACTCTTAGGAGAAAACATTTAAATCTTTTTTATTTTTTTCTCTACCCAGTGTGGTTCTTTAAAAAAAAAAAAATTACTTTGATTTGGGTGAAAGTTTACAGAGCACGTTGGTTTTCCATTCAACAACTCACACCCATTTTGTCTTGTGATACTGACCGCAGCCCCACCAGGTAACAGCTCTCCTCCCACTTCCTCCCTGTGTTTCCCGTTTCCTTTGTCCTTCTTTCCTGTCCCTCCTTGCCTTCTGACCCATTGGATCACCTGCAGTTGGTTGGTCTAGAGAGTGATTCGATACGATATACATGGGGAGGGGGTTGCAAAGACATTCTCAGCAGGGGGTCAGATCTGAATGAACCGGTTCAAAGCCCTGGTTTGCAGCTGCTGGGCCACCAGGACCACAGGGTGCCTTGCACAGGTGCAGCCTGAACTCTGGCGGGCACCCTGCTCAGGGCCCCATGCCTTAACACACCCTCCTGTCCTGCTAGCCCCCACTGGGGCTGTCTCCTTGGGGCCCAGAGCCCACCAGCCCTTGGAGCAGGAACGGGCAGCAGGAGCGGGCTGAGGCCTCCGAACGCCAGAGAAACCCTCACCTCAGGCACTTTCCACAGAGGGTAAGGACGCTCCCAGCCTCTTTGACGTCAGTACCTGCAGACATGGTCCCCTACAAGCATAAGCACCAAGCATGGCTGCCCCCCATTGCCACCACATGCCTCGCCTGGGTGTGTGCACAGGGCCACCCTAGGCCCACATGGGCGGGCAGTCTGGAGCAGGGCCTGGGAACAGAGCACTGTCCTGGGAGACCTGGGGCGGCTGAGGACTCGGCCATCCTGGGGCTGGGGAAGGGAAACCCCATAGCAAGTAGGACAAGATGCCGCTGTGGGTCATTTCTGAGGGCAGGGTTGGGGGCGACTCATCCCTCTCCTCACCCCCCTCCTTTTCCTCTCCCCCCTCCCTCCCCACTTCAGGCTTTTCTCTACAACCAAAAGGTTATATACCGCGAGCGTTTAAAATGCATCTGCAAAAAGGCACAGGGACAGCATGTTGCTAACAGCCGCAGAGGGCAGAGCGATGCCCCCTGGTGGGCGGAGAGCGCAAACCCCCGCTGTGTGACCAGTGACTGGTAGCCAGGTGACTGGGGCTCCCGAGGCTGGCCTGCCTCCTGCCTACACAGGGCTCCTGCTCCAGCTGAGAGGGCCTGGGTGCCAGCAAGGCCTGTGTGACCCCCGGTGACCAGAAGGGGCGGCCCTCGCAGCGGCTGGCCAAGCACCGGAAGGCTCGGACCCCTCCTGCTAGCTAGGCTTTGAGACGCTTCCCCCATGGGGCACCTTTTTGCCTCC